ATTTAATTGACCGATTAAAATCGGTCGATTGGCTCTACCGACCTCCACGAATCAGTCGATTGTCGGTCGATTTTTGTCAATCACCGACCAACATCGGTCGATTTTGGTAATCAACTTTCTCTTCTTTTTTTTTTTAGTAGTGTTGCTTGTTTTAGCATTTTAAGCTAATGGATTCTTTTGTGATGGACACTTAGTCCATATCAGGAGTGTAAATCATATTTAGAATTTGATTGTTAAAGCGGGGTTGAAAATAATAGAAAGTGTTACTTTTTACATTAGAGAAAGTATAAGATATATTAAAGGTTTTGAGTCAACGATTGTAAAATTTATTGAGTGGATCAAGAATCTTGGTTTAAAGTTGACGGAAAAAGTGCGCCCGAGATGTGTCTACAAGGTGGAACTATACATAGTTGATGCTTGATACAACTTTTCCTTATCGTTGAGCATTTTCAGACTTCAAGATACTTGGCAAAGATTTTACATGTTGCCCTTCAGATGAGGATCGAGTTAAAGCTGAAATGATTACTAAGTTTATAAGGCCTTTTTATGAAATCACTACACTATTTTCTGGGAGCCATTATCGTACCGCCAATTTATATTTTCATAAAGTTTGAAAAAATAATATGTTGATAAGGGAAGAGACAGGTAGTGAGGATTCTACTATCAAGGCGATGGCTATAGAAATGGAGAAGAGTTTACAAAATATTGGCAAGACAACTACAATCAAATTGCTTCTATGGCAGTCGTCCTTGATCCTCGATATAAGTTAAAATTGGTAAAGTTTTGCTTTTCAAAACTTGATCCTTTGACTTGCAATGAAAAGTTAGGATTGTTGAAGATAATTTGCTTAGGTTGTTTAAAGCATACATGAAAATATCAGATGTTGGAATTGTTGGAAGTAGTAGTCATGGATTCTATGATGGAATAATGGACGAAATGGATGAATTTGACATGTTTGAAAGTTTGTCTGAGTATAGTTCAGAAAAGACACAGTTAGATTTATACTTGGAAGAGCTTGTATTAGTTAGCAAAGGAAATGAAAATTTTGAAGTGCTTACGTTTTGGAAAGATAATAGGATTAAGTATCCTGAACTCTCATTGATGGCTCGTGACCTGTTAAGTATACCTATCAGCACAGTTGCATCTGAGTCGATTTTTAGTGTTGGTGGTCAAGTTATTGGCAAATTCCAAAGTTCTATTCTACCGAAGAATGCAGAAGCTAAGTTGTGTTCTATAGATTAAATTTTATGGGCATCAAGTTACATTATAATCAATATCACGTGTATATTATTTTATGAACTTTCTTATAGTTTGATAATTTTTTTAAATTTTCTAATTTTTAGCTTGCAATAATTCTAAAGAGGAGGACAATGCAATAGATGTGGAGAAAATTGTCGCTACACTTTCAAAAAGTTTGAATCTTGGTATGATTCAGATTTTTCACTTGATTGTATATTTAAGTTCTCTATTTATCCACACCTTCCAAAATTGTGATTTCTCATTTTACTTCTGTTGAGTGATGCTTTGTCAGGATAACTTTGGTGCTAGAAAGAGAAAAAGGAAAAGTTTGTGTTGAAGAAGATGTTGGCTTGAATATTTGCTTAGTAGTTGTCAGCTATGAAATGAGTGTATTTTTTCTGTTAGTTTCAAAGAAAATCTTGTTATAGTAGTTCACTAGTTTGACTGATGTTTGGATAAAATTGTCTCAAGGACAATAACTCTTATCAAGGTGTTATTTCTCAGCTTCATTTTAACATTGTTCAAGAGATTGTTCATCTGCGTTATTCCTATCTCTATACATGTGAGAATATGTTTGAAAGACAAGAGGATGGCTCTTAACTGAATCATGAAATTTAGGTTCCTGTCTTCTTTTTATTATATGACTTGCAGATGAAGGAGAGGTTTTGAACTTTTTTTGTTCTTACAGTCAATTTCTTGGTTCATTTTACTTCATCGGCTTAGTTTTCCTTTTGAGTTGTTTCATCATGTCAACACATGCTTATACCAGAAGTGCAGAACCATGCTTTAATATTGCAAAATGAAACTTTAATATTTTACCGCCTAAGTTTTAATACACCTTTTCATTCTTCATTTTTCATAAAATAAGCAATTTCGTACTGCCTAAATTCCTATGCAGGATGATAATAGCTGTAAAAATAGTCCTATGCTTTTTTATTTTGCTATCTTATTCTATTTCAACTTTTATATTTATATCAGGCAAATCAATTTGTGAAAATATTATAATTTCCTTTTACATGGAATAAATGCAAAGTTGATAACATTGTAAATATTTGGGTCAAGTTGGGGGTTGAGCTACTACCCATTATTTAGCCAATCTTTACCCGGCCTATCTTGACCCAAGCAAACTTTGGGTTGGACATTGACCCATTTATTAGAGCAGCCATCTTGACCAACCCAAATTCAACCCAAACAACTCATTTACCACCTCTAAATTAATGATGGATGTAAATCATTTGAGGGACCATATGTGGTGCTAGGGGTGGCAAATGACCGGTCGGGTCAGTTATGAGATGGATCGAAAATGGGTAATGCAAAAACAGATAAATTATCCGACCCAAGCCATATTTAATGCGGATAAAAAAATATGTTAACGGCGGATAATATAATTATCCATATTATCCATAACTTCTTGAATATGATCACTTTTGGGAGAATCCCTAGTCTCCCAAAATTAAGGAACCCCCAATTTAAAGTTTCACAAATGTAAAAGTTAAATCCATTAGTTATCCATTGGTTAAGTGGACAATATAATTTTTTATCCATATTTGACTCATTTTTAAAAAGTTCATTATCCGACTCATTTTAATAGATAATATGAGCTTTCTTTTATCAATTTTGCCACCACTAGTTGGTGCTGACGACACTTCATTGATTACGAGCCATGATATTTTAACCACTAAATCATTACCATTCTTAACAAGCTTGATGGTCTCTATTTCAGCAGCATAGTTGTAGACNCAGCAGCGTAGTTGTAGACAGTGGTTTTCTGGTATCCGAATTATCTGTAATATGTATAAGATTTAAGTTTTATTGGCAATATAAAGGATTTTTATAGCATCCATGTATTTTAACATGTTCTTATTTTTCAGATATCTCACTTATCATAGGTCAATTATTTTATTTGATAGTATAAAAATTCTTTTGTATAGTCAGTTTGTAAAAGCCAAACTTTTATAAATAAAGTGCGGATGAGCTAAACTTATTTTATGAATTCAGCCTTTAAAAGTTCTACCAATTAAATTTTTAAAATTATGAGTTCAATCCTACTATTTGTTGCAATCTAAGTGAATTTTCACGCATTAACTTATACCATGTTGAAACAACTGGGTTCAGATGAACCCGATGCTATAGGGAGAAATTCAAAAATAGCCAGATTTACAAGTGGTAATTGAAAAATAACCACAGTTTCAAAAATAATCAAAATTTAGCCACTTTTCATGTAAAGATAAATCTGAACGAAAACATTGTTCGAAATCCGAAAAATATTTCAGTATATTATACTGGACTTCCAGCATAATATATTGGAGTTCCAGTATAATATAGCGGTCCAGCATAATATGCTGGAAGTTCATACACAGGTACTCCAATCTCCAGTAAATTATGCTGGAATTTTTCGCGTGTTGGAGTTCCACCATAATATGCTGGAAGTTCATACACAGATGCACCAATCTCCGGTATATTATGTTGGACCGATCCGTGTTGCAGCAAAATAATGACTATTTTTCAATTATCAATCCGAAAACTGACTAGTCCGTGCTATTTTTACGATGCTATAATGTTGCATCCGCCTCTGATATTTGAAAGGGTGAAAGACGATATTGGGAAATTCAAAATTTGCCATGATTTTTAACACTACCCATGTCTTAGATCCGAAGTCCACAACTGGAAAATCTGTTACGTGGGTAAGCTCACCGAGTTCAGTTCTCAACAGTGGAGAACCAACAGAACGTACTCCTTTGAGCTCCTTTAAACTCTTGTTACTTGTTAGCAATACTGCTCAACTTTATACACTGCCTATCTAGAGGCGGAAACAGAAAAAAAGTAATAAGTGAATTGATCCTTGTTCTGTTGGGTAAATAACTCAGTAATCAAACAAGTATACTATTCAACCTTTATGGAACATGGGTGCCAACAAATAATGTTGGACTAAAATATATACATAAAATAACTAGTTTAACGGAGAGACCATGAGTTCACGTGTCCTATAAACTACCCAATAAATCCGCCCATGTGCCGACCTGATCGACACGCTTCCAAACAATTACTGGTAGCAGTATATGGAGATACAAGTTTCTATTTCTGCTATATGAATGAAGCATAATTAGCAGATCCTCTGGGAATGGAGTTACAGGGAATTGAAATGGCTTCCAAGATGAAGAAAAGCAAAAAAAAACGACGACTAAAAGGTATTATGATTAGAGGGACACTCATCTATCTCCATTTTCCATGGACGTAATGGAGTATCTGACTAACAAAGAGCATGAGAAATGAAAAACATATGAGGAAAGCAAATTAACACAACAGGTAACTAAACACACATTTTTAAGAACATAAAAACAAAATTCATGAATGAAGTAAGCTCACAGCAAAAGAGAGCTCTTTGACAAGCTTGACAGTTTGCAGTGGCATACTAATTATGGAGCTTTCATGGCCCCAAGCCAATATGCCAAGTTTCTGGTTCCTTTGCTTGGCTACTACTATTACACACAGCTACATGAAATAATTTTCATATGATTCTTTGAACTCTTGATATTTGTAGCTGATCACATATTACGCTGAAAACAATGGCAAGATTTTCACTTGCTCATCAAGGAAAATGATCGCCAGAGCTAGATATTAAGGTAACATAATTCGTTTCCTGATGAGTCACTTAAGATAGCATCATAACTGAAGGACCTGTAGCTCTGGGCAGAGATATCATCTATTAAAAGCTGGAAAAAAACATAATTTTTTTCTGAATTGATTTGTTGAAGAGTGAGTGAATTAGATAATCCAATTTCAGGCTCTATAACATATCAAACTAACATACAACAGATAGGAGGTTGAATATCAAGCAATGGTGCTCTAGAGAAAAAGGACAAAGTCCAATGAATCGGATTAGTCAGAGTACTTGAATATATACATAAACTATATAAACAAGAAACTAGCAAATTCTACAAGACAAGGATTGAGCTTACAAGGATGTCCATCCAATTCATTTAGGTTTCAAGTTCTCACTAATCAAGTAACAAATTTCAAGCACCGAGTATCTTTGTGGATGGTCTGGCATTTGATTGAGCAAAAGCGCATCCCACATTGCACACATGTATAGTTCGCAGAGAAACCACAAACCGTGCAGAAATGACGGCGAGAGATGGAACTTGGTGGTCCCACTGCTGCTCTTAAATAGGTTGGCACATGCGGTGGCAAGGACTCCAGGTTTGCCTATTTTCATAAGTAAAATGTTGAGAGGTTAATCTATGTCACTGAAGCTGAGAAAGAAAGCATCTGCTAGCCCCGGAAATCTATACCTCATGCAAGAGCTCAAGGAATGTTTTGGGCGCTCTCTTATTCTCAAGTGCCTTAGCTTGGCGTGTTTTCCGTTTTGTGCCTTTTGGGTACTTCTTATGAACTACTGGAATAATATTTTAAAAAATTGAAAGTGAGTCAGAAAAGGTCATGATAGGAAATACGAGAAGAAAGGAATAGAACAATACAAATCCTCATCTTAAGACTGGAAGAGAAGGTTTACACAAGAAGTATGTGAAGGATGGAAAAGATAAAGAAGACAAGGATGGCAAGATAAAAATGGTTAATATGAAACTAATGTCACTGTATCCTCGATTCTGGGCTATATCTTTCTGAACATAACCTAAGAAAGAGTCCTGAAAATGAAGATAATACAAGATTCCCCTTTCTCTATTTCAATGGAAAGGGGGAAATCACCCATCTGATAGCCAATTATATTCTTTTCCTTTTTTTTTTCCATCCCATGGTCCAGTGATCGTTAACTTTTTAAAGAGCCTAATAGTAATAGTTTTCTGAGTAGAATACTAAGCCCACAGACACAAGAAAAGAATCACATCCCACGAATCATTTCCTTCTTTTTTCTCTGGGTAAGTACTAAGCCCGCAGACCAAATAAAAGCAACATCCTTAAAACAATTTTTTTATTCCATCCTCTCACTTTTATGGGTAGCAATGCAGGCTGATCTTCCATCAAAACGCACAAGGAAGTGAATTATAGGACCCAGTGCGAATGTGAACGAACTGTGGAAACACTCCTTACTGAGAATATGAATCGACTAAAGCATGTAAATGTACACAAACAAATTCACACTGTACAAGTCCATATGTTCTTCTTACCACCCCTTATTGAGCAACACGAAACAACTAAATCCTGTAAATGTTAGACTTTATGCAAAGTGTTGGAAAAGATATATCTTCTTATCAACAATAAAAAGAAAGATCTATATTCATATCAACTATTCATGGTATATAATTGCTTGCATAAATGACAAAAATTTCTATTCTCACAGTCACACTACTGCTTAGAGTATGTTTAAGTGGAAGGAAATAGAACAGAAGGAACCAATCAAAACTATGCCTCAACTATAAACTAGTGGGTTCAACTATATGGATACGCCGATACGCCATATACAATCAGCCATATCCAGGCCATATTAGTAGATGTAACACGTGCCACGTGCCTAGATGAGCGCATCCCAACCAACGAATTCAATTCAGTATTAAGAGGAACTCATCATACTTAGACTATTTTTACTGCAACAGCTAACCTACCACAATCAGTGGCGAGGCCACAGACAAAGAATGGGTTCAATTGAACCCACTTCATTGGAAAATCATACTACCCAAATAGGGAAAAAACAATTTTTTCGTATATATACTGACAGTTGAATCCCCTTGTAGTGGCAAATGTAGTTCATAAGTTGTTTCAGGTCACAAGTTTGAATTTTTTGTATCCTTTTATTAAAATTCCTAGCTCCGCCACTGACAACAATACTCCTCCTTTGTCTAAGTTACTGGGTTCCAAATTAAGAATTTGTACACTCATTTCTCAAGACAAATACAGGATTTGGACCAAAGTTACTGGATTCACCGAACTCATAACATGTACACTGGCTGTGCCTCTGCCTTTATCTAAAGTTGGTAGCAACTATGTTACGGGAAACTCTGGTATGCACAGTTGGCATAACACAAGGAATAGAGAGAATAAATGCACCATAACTAAACCAAGAAATTCAACTCCAAACAAGCTAAAATTTGTGCAAGCAAAAAAAAAAACCTTGATCTTCATCGTCAAGAGAAGCTTCATCATCATCGTCAAGTAGTTGTTGTTCCACTACTGCATTATCACTTTCCAATGCATCAAGACGCGCCAGCATAGCCTAAAAATGAATAAATAGATTATTAAAAACCATAGATATATTTTTTTTAAAATGGATTCCTAAATTGATGAATTCAAATTTTTTTTAAAAAAAACAACAAAAATTGGGATAAAACATAAATAAGTGTAATTAGCAGACCTGAGTTCTATTATCAGAACTTGCAAGAGCAGCAGCCATTTTTGGAGCAACCTTACGAGTTCGCATTGACATTCGCCTCGCTGAATTTGACATTTCTTCATCCATTGCTTCAAAGTCAGATTAAAAATTGCGAAATTTTTACTCTTATTAGTACTTTCGAATTTTTCTTCACTTTCCTAATTGGGATACCAAAAAAATTCTGACTTATTTTCTAATCTAAGAGAAGTAGATGGAGAAGAAGGTGAAAACGGCAACGAGTGACCGGCCGGCGGGAGAATTAGGGTTGAAGAACCTTCGGTTTCGGGAAGAAACAGACAGTTTGATTTTCCGAACTGAGGCCAACACATCTGGTATTGAATTCTGTTGCACCCTGAAGATTTTAGAAAATCACGTAAGACCCTAAACTATGCAAAATGGTATATCTGTCCCACTAACTTTGTTATATTGCTCGAACTTTCATTATTTTCAACTTTTACATTTCCTTTGAACAAGGATTTAGCATTTAAATTTTGAGATAGGAATCTGTCTTTTTTATTTTCTATATGAATTAAAGAAACAACTTTCTATGGAGTAAAATGTTAAATAGCTTAATATTTTGAAATTTTTAACGAGTTAAACTATTCATATTTATTCTGCAGAAAAGTCATACTACTAACTACTCCTTAATTTTGGAAACATCCATTTGAATTTTGTTGTCATCATCTTAATATTTGTTAATGTCTCTACTCTCTACGGAACAACTTGAAATTTTTTTGGTTAATAGGGTACTCTATTGAAAATTAAGATTCAGTTAGTACCATACAAGTTGGGGCTTTCACTGTGAAAACAAATTATTTAAATATTTTGTGTTCTTCACTATTTAGCAAATGGAAAGAATTCACCTAACGTTTTTTAAGTATGCTGGAACTTGAACGCTAGTCTCCATGCGGTTATTTTCACGGAAGAATGATTTATTAGTAACCAAACACCAAAAAAGACTTCACAGGAAAATATGTTCCTAAAAAATGACTTTTGCCATATACCATACACCTTTTCTTGCTTCCAAATTACCTATCTAGACATGCTTGGCAAATTCTTCAGCCAATGGAACAAAGAGACTACATGCCTTTTTCCTCCATTATTTTTTATAAATATACATCTTTCTGGATGTAACAACTGGGGCAACAACTCTGCTTTTAAACATCCTTAGCTAACTTTGGGTGCTCACCATGTCAAGAAAAAAGAGTGAGGAAGTGTCTTCTTTCCCTTAAAATGAGGACCCAATGTCACAACTCGCACTTTGGAGTTGTGATTTCGGCCAAGAACTGGTGAGAAAAGGTCATTCTAATGGTCTAACGTAGAATTGTCTACTCGGGCAACTTGGACTTTTTAATTTTAAGCATATATAAGGGGGTATAGGTGATGAAAGCTCCGACCTACATCCCCCATACGTGCTGCCACCAAGCCGTATCG